CAGAGCAGCTTCTCACACCTGCCTTCTCTCCCGCGGGTGCAGGATCCGTTCAGGACACATCCCCTGACCCTGAGCGGCAAAGCACTTCGCTTCCTCCTGTTCACGAGCAGTTTCAGAGCACCAGTGACTGCACAAGAGAACAGAGGATCTTCCCGATGGARTAAGGCTGGCCGGCACAACAAATCGATCAGGGAGAAATTCACTTTCTTTCCTATCWTTACCTGAAGTAAATGATAAAGCTCCCACATTCATCCAATTCACATCCCARCCTCCTCACAAAGCACAGAGCTGATAATCTAACCAACCCACTGTGGGGTGCATAAGATTTCCCTCTGAGACATCACACATTCACACTACGACAAACAGTAATACAGAAAAAATAAAGTAATATAGAGAAAACATTACAAGAGAGTATTACCACCTATTTCTGATAACTGCCTACSTGGGCAGGAAACAGCAATACCAGCAGTCCCCCTTACAGAGCTCCAAAATAGGCAATATACAGCGGATTTCTTGCTTAAAGTGGCAGTTTCCCAGTAGAAAACTATTCTTGATTAACAAGTTTTATATTTCCTTAAGAAAGTACTATGGACTGAAAGGGAAAAAAATACAAAAAATTACTACTTAATGAAAATAAAGCTGGTTTGTTTAGTGCTGTATTTCAGCACTGCCCATGTCCCAGAATTCAGTTGTCCTGAAAGTTTTTAGGATGTGCTGTTTCTAAGATTTAAACGTCTTGTTGTAAAGTCTTCACAGAAAAATAACGCACTTGTTTTTCTCAGTTACCTTTTGCAGATRYTCTTCTGCAGTCTCTGAGATAAKAACCTCCCATGAATTCATGGTCWGCAGGCTGAGAAAGAYTGCCCTGAATGATTCTAAYCWCACAAAGATGAGTGGAATGACACTGTAAACTACTCTGTATTAGAAATTTTTAMMATTTAGRAAAGAAATGCCCTCTAGTTGTTTCCTGGCTGTGTCTCAATCTCACAATTACTTTGATTATAACACTTACACTCTTTCAAGTTTATTTATTTCAAGACACAGTTATCAAAATAGTGACCTCTGAAATAAAACCARCTAGAAATATAAATAACCCTATCTGCAAAACCCATTATTTCTCCATCCCTACCCCTGCTCTCTTCTACCCAATCATGGATCTCTTCCTGCCCCTTAGTCGAACCTCATCCAGTTTTTTGATCACAGGACCAGATTTTTTAGACGCGGCTGCATAGCTCTTTAGCAGAGCTTTGAACATCRTTTCAGTATCTGGATGAGTGCTGATGAAGGCTTTTTCCAGAACATACAGATCAACTCCTTTATCCTCTGGAAGACCTGAAATAAAACTGAGTCCAAAGTCTATCAACACCAAGTCCAGCTTCTCCATGGGTGGCCGCAGGAGGAGATTGGCAGTTGTAAGATCGCCGTGGATAATATCTTCATCRTGCATCCTTGCTAACAGCTCTCCCATCTTCTCTCCTAACTTATGGAGGCCGTCGGTATCATTTCCACTCTTTTGTACAGAATAAATATGATCCTGAACAGTAATTGAGTCTACAATATCTTCAAGATAGATGGAGTTGGTGACATAATCCACGAAGTAGACCACTGGAGCTGGAATCCCTATTTAAAAGAACAAATCAAATGCTACAAGTTAATTTACATGATTGCCAGCTTTATTTCAACAACAAAACACAACCGATAAAAGTCCTAAGCAGAAAAGCAGGTTTACAGATCACCCCCAGTCACAGATAATCCACACCTTGGAATGAATGGCCTGGCCAACAYTTATTTCCAACCCATCTGCACTGCCCTGCAGTCTTACAAGCTGGCAGCTCCAATCTGGTGACAGATTGGCCTCGCCTGGGGCGATCGTTCCAAATAAAACAAGTTATGGGACACACCGAGGACAAGAGCAGGCACTCTGAGAGAGCAAAGCGCATTGCCCAGGCCTCGGAAAAAGCTCCCGCATCCTTCAGGAAGGCGCAGAAAGACGCCAAGAGCCCGCGACTTGCTCTGAGCGGTGTGAAGTGACAGGGCTGCCGCGCTCACACCGTCCCGGTGTCTGTCTGTCCGTCCTGCCAGGGGCTGCCCCGCTCACACCGCCCCGGTGTGTGTCTGTCCGTCTGTCCGTCCTGCCAGGGGCTGGCCCGCTCACACACCCCGGTGTGTGTCTGTCTGTCCGTCCTTCCCCGCTCACACCGCCCCGGTGTGTGTGTGTCTGTCCGTCTGTCCATCCTGCCAGGCAGCCCCGGCCCGGTCCCCCCGCCCCCGTGCGCACCTGCCCGCCGGCACCGCAGCAGCGACCGCGCCTCCTGGGCCATGCGGCGCCGGCTTAGCCGCTCCTCCAGCGCCGGGTGCCGGTATCGCTTCGGGACGCGGAGCTTGGCCACGGCCGCCCGCCCGAGGAAGAGCCCGCGGTACACGTGCGCCTCAGCGCCCTGCTGCACCAGCCGCAGCCCCGGCAGCGGCGGCGGAGGCGGCGGCTCCTCCGCCACCATGGGGACGCCCGCCCCGTCCATGAGGGGACCCGCGGCTCCAAAGTCACCCATGGCAGAGCCCGCGGCCCCCAGGTCGCCCATTGCGGTGCCCGCGGCCCCGGCCATGACCGAGTGCGCACCGCCCGCCTCCGCCTGGGCCGCCGCCATCACTGGGACTATACGGCACATGCGCGCCGCGAGTCTTCGGCAATTTTCGGTCATCCCCGGCCATCTTCGGCAATGCTCGGTTGCCCGTGACGGAATCCTACGAATGCCCGAAGCCCCTCCCGCTCCCCGCCTGTGGCGCTGGGCTGCGCTCGCCATGAGGGGCCCTGCGCTGCTGTGCTGCCGTCGCTGCTGGCGCTGCCTCTTCCAAACCCCTCTCTGCTTTCCCCGTAAATCATGCTGCCCCCTGCTCGCCTCTGCCGTGACGAACGATACTGAGTAGCCGCACCCTGACTTGTTCCTGAGCATTCCCGAGCCGGCGCGTGCTCCCGTGGCTTTGTGCCCCAGCGGGACCTGCRGCTGCCCCAGGGCTTGCGATGGAGGTGTGGGATGCGCGCCTTTCCAAGGTGGCAAATGGCATCTCGTGGTTCCCCCGAGGTTTTCCCAGCATCGCCTTGGAATTCCGCTCCCGGGCATCACCCCRGGACACCACTGCCACGGCATTCCCCCCACCAGGATACCCCACCCCTGGAGCACCATAATGGGGACTCCATCTCTGGGACATCACCAGGATAATCCACCACTGGCTCTTGCTCTTTCATTGCTGGAGCCTGTGCAGATCCACTGCAGCTTCCCAGTTTGTAGCTGGGAAGGAGAAGAAATTTGCCCACAAGCTGCAGGGCATCAGTAGTGTGCAGCAGGCATGGTGTGACCTCGAGTGCCCACGCTGGGCACCACCAAAGCTTCTTCCCCCCAGGTCTGCCACAGGCCACTCATGCCATGAGTCAGGTGGCTTCCCCTTCCTTGAGCAGCCAAGTCCTGCACTGCCACCTTATTAAAATATGGATAAACCTCATTACCCTCATAAACCTCATTGGATCAGTCTTTGGGGTTTTATGGCACCCTGAAAACCCACTGCCCTATTGGGTGATCTGGACATGCTGCAACTGTGCTCCTCAGAAGATACAAGAGAATTCAGCCCAGTCCATGTAAATATGTTTTCAGTTGTTGCTTTTGGAGGTGCCACAAGTCCATTTAGTCTTTGTTTTCTCACCCACAACATTTGTTTCCTTTTCAGAACATTTATATTTTATTAACACATTCCATACAGCTTACTTGTCATTGCACGGTGGGATCATGCCTGGCAAATATTTATCTTGCCTCAGTAACAACTTTTAAACAACCTTCCCAAGTTTTCAGTGATACAGATAATCCATCCCGCAATTCTGTGCACCCGTGGCACTTTTCCTTCAGCTGCCCTCACTGTGGCAGGGCTTCAGGAGCTCAGCAGCTTGCCCAGAGTAAGAAGCACATTCCTGGTCTCAAACAGTCAAAATAAAGAAAAAGGTTTTCCCCATTTTGTGAACAGATTTTACCAGAGCATCTATGCACAGAGGCCCCCGCAGACACACATATAACCTATAAGCAAGTGCACACAGATACCCTTTGGATCATTATTCTGGCAAGCATGATGGTTTTCTCTCATGCTGGCCAAAAACCTCCTCCRGAGCTTTCAAAGTATGAAAGAAAATATTTTTGCTTTATTTTCCCCTTTATTTTATTTATTTAAATTTTATCTTCCCTGTGATTTCACTTATTCTTTCCTCTTTTAATGCAATAAACAGTTGACATAGCCCTTGGAAACCATCTAGAGCCATTTACAATATTTATGRTATCACCTAGTATTTTTATTGGAATATTGAATCACCCCAGAGAACTGCTCTGAAGCCACAGACTGGTAAATGGTTTAGTTATGTAACTTTGTCCTCCCAGTGACAAGAATTTACAAACTCTCCTTTCACAAACAATTTTATTAAGTTGAAAATCACAGCGCAGCAAACCAAGCTAATGGAAACCAAGGCAGGACCCATGGGCTMCTCCCTGCTGTCCTACAGATCCCTTGGAATAAGGCAGGGTACAGCCCTGGAAGCAGCTCTCCCCTCAGCCCCCAGCTTATTTAAGGATGGAGACTGCCATCCTCAGGGCTGGATGGATGGGAAAAAGGATGAATTTGGGTTATTGCAGCTGGAAAAAGGATGAATTTGGGTTATTGCAGCTGGAGGCATCCTTAAAATGTGCAAGGAGACAAAACTCCTGGGGGGACCACCATTATTGACCAACATTGCCAGGAAACCCCCCTGGGTTAGRATATCATAAAAGAAAACATGCGCAACCTGGACCAGGAGGAGAAATCTCTCCTGGTAAACCAACATGCAATAAATGCAGGTTCCTGGTGAGCTGATTCCAGCTGTGAYACTGCTGCCTGCTCAGGCATCATCATTTCCATCAACAACTGAATGGAGTTTGATCACTTTGGCCCCCCAAGCCCCTTCCTATTATGATTCTTCTAGTCATAATAGAAGAAAATACACTCGAGGATGTGATCAGGATTGCTGAACACCATGTCTTCCTTTTTCCAAGATGGACCTCTTTCTCCTCTGGTATTTGTATTTTAATTTGTGATTTTTAAAGCCTCTCTTAGCTGCTCCAGCTCCGAGGTAGAGGGTAACATTTCCAGTAATCACAGCCGGGTTGTGTTACCAAACACAGGCTGCCGATGCAAACACGGAGCTCTCCAGGAGCACATTCCTGCGGCTCAGCCCTGAGGATGTGCTGTTTGGCTGCCAGGCAGGAACGCCAGGAGCCAGATRAGCATCAGATGGGGAAATGGCACTGCCAAGACACACGGACTGCAGAGGAGGAGGAGGAAAGCATCACAGSAGGGTGCAAGGACAGAAACGTGCCTGCAGGCAGGAAGCACTGGTGGATCCAACCCCCCCAGACCTTCTCATGTGGAGTTTGGRGACAAAGGTACTGCCTTCAGCAGGCCGAGAATGTCCACTGCAAAAGGTGTGATAAAAAAGCTGTACTCTAAGAACCCCCCAAAAAAGCCTTTTTTTTCCCAAATTATCCCTGCAGTACATCATAGCAGGTTTTCACCTTTTTTTCCCAGAGGACCATAACCCACAGCCTCCAGTGACAGCTGCATTTCTGTACATAATGACATCATCTTTTGGTAAACACACCATAAAGCTGTGCCTGTGCTCCCCAAGACCTCACCTCCTTGTTCTCTGTGCTARTAATATTTCTTGCCCTGCCAGAGGCCAGGAAGCCTCCAGGAAATGTTCGGGTGGCAAATAAATTAATGCTGAGTGACCATGGAGAAAAATGTAATTTTTTCCTTCTCACACTGAAGTAATGTCAGAAGAGAGGAACTGTTGAGGCAAATTGCAGATCACACAGCCAATGGTGGGTTTGTCCAGAGGGTGATGAGGACTCTAGGCTCTCTTTGGCTCTCTGCCTGGCATGGTGGGGAACCATGCATGGGAGACACCTCCTCCAGTTCCTAACACAGCTCAYCCAAAATTCCTAGACTTGAGCTCTGGAGGATTAGCTCTGGAGGCCAGAGATCATGGACAAAACCACACTGTATCTTCTAGATCCCCACATGTTCCCAAAATGTGGAATATAAGCCTAGACACAGAGTTGTAGTGTCTGCTGTCTGCCATGKTCTCATGTGGAAGAGAGAAAACAGGAGTAATTTCTCCCTCTCCATATCACGAGAGCTGATGGTGATTTCAGAGTTATTTAAGCTGCTCTTATATGAAATGCAAATCCTATTGAAAAGCTCTTCCCATGAACACCATTGKTTTCTGTTGGCTGGTGTTTGAAGCCATTCTTCCCCAAGTGTGTGATCCCTGTGCAGCTGTCAGGCTGTATCAGATATATACAGATTTTAGAAAAGGTGTTTTACACATTGTATTCCCACTGAAATTAGAGCATATGAATGGGAAGCATTTATTTAATCTATAAACCAGGTAGATGATTTCACACACTTTTTATATTCTCTGTGATTTGTAGAAGAAACAAACCAAAACCTTTGATCAACTGCTGCTCATTTTRCAGCCAGATATCCAAAAGACTAAAGCTGAAAGGATATACATGATCCAGTATGGCCCATCTCAAGCATCCCAAACTATGAATTAGGACAAAAAAAGAGTTGATACTGCTGGTCTGCAGTGTAGAGACATGAGATGTAACCTCATACTTCTAAAAGTAACAATTCTTTAAATATCTCTCTTAAATTCGCTGTTAACATGTGGAATGGCTGAAATGGCTCTTAAAAAAGAAATAAAACATTCACGTATTCTTTATTCTTCACCCAACCTATTTATTTTTGCATGTGTCAGAGGGGTGTGCCTGCACCACAGGCACGATGGTCACTGATTCAGACCTTCCCCAACTCAACTCTGCTGGGGCAAAAAGCTTTACCAGCACAGGCTCCACAGAGTGCTCTTCTGGAGCTTGTGTGGTTATAACATATTAAATATTCAAATTTAATGTCGGTTTTCAATGAAATGTCACCTGCAGTCACATGCCAGCTCACAAAGCATGGTGAGTCACCTACTCTGCAGTGGCAGTCCCTGCTGCAAGGCTCTGGGGAGGCTGTGCTTGCCTTCCCAGCTGTGACACCACATCTTCCCTCACCCTGTCCCACSCCAGCTGGGTCACAGCAAAATCCTGAACATCCCCTGAACTTCAGCACAGCACAACCCGCCCAGCAGCTGCTGTTTACAGGGGCAGTGTTTGCATATTGYGTTAAAGGGTTTCAAAAGCACTTTGAGGTGTGTCTAATTTTGTCAAATCCTTGTTTAACAAACTGGACTTTGGGATACAAGAAATTAGCTTCAGACCCAAATCTTGCATCCAAGTACAAGTCCCAGTGTCTTTTATGCAGGACAGCAGGAAGGTTCCTGTTCCACTCAGCGGGAAAAGAATGTTAATTGCAAAGGAAGTTGAATAGTGAATGCTTTGTCTGATGGAGCAGCATGTCWGGGGAAGGAGATAAGCTTGAGAGACTGATTCTTTCTGTCCCACAGCCACAAAAGTTAAGAGTGCAAACTCAGACATAGAAYCACAGAATCATAGACTCACAATATGCTSAGYTGGAAGGGACCCATCATGGAGTCCAACTCCTGGCCYGACACAGGACACCCCAATAATCCCATCAGGTGCCTCAGAGCATCGTTCAAATGCTATTTGAACTCTATCAAGGCTTGGTGCTGCCCACTGCCCTGGGGAGCTTGGTCAGTGCCTGACCACTCTGTGTCAGGTGTGAAAAATCTTGTCCTGATATCCAACCTAACCTCCCATGCGGCTCCTTTCATTTTTAGCTTTGAAGTGGCCACCCCTTTCCTAGCAGGCTTCTTTGACTTTCCAGCCGAGCTACCTAAAAACATTAATAAACCGCCAATCTCTCGTGGACCTTCTGGAGGCTTTCCAGAGGTGTGAAGCTCTGCACAAAAGCAGCTCTGCAGGCAGCGAGGAGATTTCTGTTCCTCAAGCGAGACAGACCGGGGACAGAGCTGTCATTGCACCCACCAAAGCCGCATCCTCGTTTCTAGACCAACTCGCCACCTCCCCCGTAATGTGTCTCCTCCACCCCGCAGCCGCCCGGCCCCGGTTCCGCCGGGCTCACCCGTGGGCTCACCCATCCCCSGGACCCGGCTCCGCTCCGCCGCCCTCGGCACCGCTCCCGGCGCGGCGCAGCGACCCCCGCCCAGGACCCCCGCCCCCGAGAGGGGCGGGCAGGGCGACTACAAGCCCCAGGCTGCCCGGCCGGGGGCAGGGCGGCAGCGACGTGGCGCGGCCCCGCTCCGGCCGCCGGACCCCGCTCCGCCCCGCTCCGCCCCGCTGCGCCCCGCTCCGCTCCGCGGGCTCAGCCCCGCGCCATGGGTGAGTGCGGGACGGGACGGGACGGGACGGGACGGGACGGGGGGCTGCGAGCCCCTATGGCGGCGGGGCAGCCGGGATGGAACGGGCACGTCCTGCCCCGGGGAGGAGTTTCCAAAAGAAAAAAAATCAAAGTTTGCAACTTTTCCTAAAGGCTGGAGGGTGCATCCTCCGCCCCTTCCTTTCTTTCTGTTCTTTTTTGAGCGGTGCCAGCAGCGCGTACAGCGAACATAAGAGCCAAGGAATTTCCTGTGGCTCGGTCCCGGGGCTGTCCCAGGGGTGCTCCAGGGGGAGGGAGCGGGGGTTCAGGGGGTGTGCAGGGAGCTGCATTCGCTGTGGAGTGGGAATTGCGCTCATTGGCCTTGGTGTTGGTGCGAGCACAGTCCGGGGTCAGCCCAGCCCCAGCCCGGCTGGACAACGGGTCACTGCCCTGTCCTGGAGCCCTGACCAGTTTGCTGTGGGCAGAGAATCGCCTGGCACGGTTCCTTGCGACGCCCACCAAACTTTCTGTCCTTATGCAGGGATCTGAAAAGTCCTCAAAATCCCCAGCTCCGTCAGAACAGACGATCTACAAAMTGGATTTCAGTCAAAGTTCATAAACTGTGACTGCTTATTAAGTTAACAAGAAATGCAGCAAAACCTGATTAAATCAACTGTGGTATTTATAGTGGGGCTGTCTGYGTCTAATAGAATTTGTGGCTTGAAGCTAATGGGATGGCCACTTATGTCTTTTGTTCTCAGCAGATATTTTTTTCTAATAGTCTGCATAATGTGTACAAGGAGTGCTAAAAGTGCAGGTGGTCATACAGAGCATGGTGGGAGGGACTGGGATAGCTGGAATGGCATAAGTAGCACAAATGAAACACAGAGGCTTGCAGAATAAATGAAAATATTTGTATTTTTACAGCCATCACTGAGAAATAGCCTTTATTGCTAGCTGTAATTAAATGCCAAGCAGAGACACTTCCCAATATACACAGCTTGTGATAGGAAAAAAGTGCTTAGGCAGGGTGAGAAAAGTTTCCATGGTCCGTTGCTTGCACCCACATTTTTTCCACATACAGTCTACCCAAACTGTGAGTATTTCTAATTAATCTAAAGAATACAGATAGTGCTACGTGCTGCAAGCCAGTACAAACCCCAAAACTAATGCACCGTACCTGTGCAAAAACTGTAACTGGAGGGGAGGTCACYGTCACCACTGTTTCCAGAGGTCCCTAAAGCAACATTTGCTCTTGCCCCAGTGCAATCCCTGCTGCTGTGACATGGCTCATAGTTCACATGTTCATGGCTTAGGGATCCTGGGAGCTGTGGACTGGAAGGAGAGATGAAGAAATCCAGGCCACCCCACAAAGTCATGCTAAGRGTGCAAGATGAACTCAGAGAAATAAACTTTTGTGAACAGGGCTTTTAAAAACACTGTAGGTAGCGAGAATGCAAAACCTGCAGGGACAACTGGTGATGCTAAAAATGATAATGCAGAATGATTCAGAACCACAAAGCAGAAGCTGCATTTCCTGCCCAGAACAAGTTTTGTAATTAGAATCAAAAGATACGACAAAACATCCCACTGTACAACTCTGGGCACTACAAATCACTGGCCTGCACTTAAAAACAGGTTTTCACTGATTTTGAAGTTTTGCACCCCAAATGAGTGCCTCTGCAGCTCCTGGAAGCCTGTGCAGCTCTGGTGTGACCGTCTGCAAGTTCCTCTCTACCTGTGACCTAGTGACCTCTGGGGAAATTCCACATCACAGCTTTGTAGATGCAAAACTGAAAACTGTGGGTGTCCTGGGAGAGCTTTTTCCAGCCTGTGCATGCTGACAGCTTGTCTTACAGCATCAGAAAACTGAACCAAGCACTGCCTGCTTGTTTTCCAGGTCGCGCACTGATGGTCCTCCTCTTGTCTGCAACGGTATCTCTGCTGGGCGGGCTGATATTTGGCTACGAGCTGGGGATAATTTCTGGCGCACTGCTGCAGTTGCAGACAGACTTTCACCTCAGCTGCTTCCAGCAGGAGGTTGTGGTGAGCGCCGTCCTCATCGGAGCGCTGCTCGCCTCCCTGGCCGGGGGGATCCTCATCGACCGCCACGGCCGCAGGAGAGCGATCCTGGTCAGCAACCTGGTGCTCCTGGTGGGCAGCCTCATCCTCACACTGGCCAGGTCATTCGTCGTGCTGGTCATCGGGCGCATGACCGTGGGCTTTGCCATCTCTGTCTCATCCATGGCCTGCTGTATCTACGTCTCAGAGATGGTGGCCGCTCAGCGGCGAGGCCTGCTGGTGTCTCTCTACGAAGCGGGAATCACCGTGGGCATCCTGCTGTCCTACGCGCTGAATTACGTCTTTGCGGCTGTGGGCGAGGGCTGGAGGTACATGTTTGGGCTGGCCATTGGCCCGACCATCATGCAGTTCCTCAGCATCCTCTTCCTCCCCGTGAACCCTGTTAAACTGAGCTCRTGGGACTCAGACTGCCAGAAGGGCCTGATCCCCCTGCAGGACACGGGGGACAGATCGGCAGCAGAGCGGGAGATCTACCAGGAGAAGCATTACTCATTTCTTGACCTTTTTAGGAGCAGAGACAACATGAGRAGGCGGACTCTGGTGGGGCTGGGCCTGGTGCTCTTCCAGCAGTTCACTGGGCAGCCCAATGTGCTGGGCTACGCCTCCAAAATCTTCCACTCGGTGGGGTTCCAGAGCAACTCCTCSGCCATCCTGGCCTCGGTGGGGCTGGGAGCCATCAAGGTGGTGGCCACGCTGGTGGCGATGGCTTTGGCAGACAAGGCAGGCAGGAGAGTGCTGCTCATGGCTGGCTGCGTGGTGATGGCCATCTCTGTCACCACCATCGGCCTCAGCAGCCGCATGGCTCCACTGGCCATGGCCAGGGACTGCAAAGCAGCCACRGACCCCAATGCATCCCACAGCCTCACCCAGCACCCCCCGACACCTGTGTCCACCCAGGCTGCTCTGTCACCCGTCACACCGGTGTCAGGTGCTGCCCAAAGCCAGGCAAGCCCTGCTTTTGCTGCCACAAGGGGCCTTACAGAAGTTTTTGCCAGCACTCAAAGCAAAGAGGTTGTTCCCAATTCTTCCCTCRCTCAGAAAAGGGGCCTGGTAGGTCAGTCCAAGAAGGGAGACCTGGACAGCACGGGCCCTCCTGTCGGTGCTGCTCCCTGGGCACAACATACGGCCTTAAATTGGATTACRCTGCTGAGCATGATGGCTTTCGTGAGTGCCTTCTCAATTGGATTTGGGCCAAGTAAGTGTGGTGTTTATCCTTACACTAACCCAGAGAGTAAAACTAAGGCTGATCTGCACGCTGCCTGCTTGAACCATTCCTTGTGTATCTGCTGTGCTGACCAGCTCAGTGTCTGGGAACTGCACCTATGTCCCCCGCTGCCTACTGAATCATTTTCTAGCCCTGAAGCTCTGCCAGCTACAGCACTGGATTTACTTTCTATTCCATGCTATTCACTACCCTTGTAAAGCTTTTCTTCTTTCTCTGAAGTTCAGTGGAAAATCAGAGCATCCTACAAGCCCGACAAGCCCTACATAACCTTCCTGCCAGCCTGGTGAGAAAGAAAACACAGGGCTGAGGACAGAGGAACTTCAGGGTTTCTGCTGTGTGATTATGAAAGTCAGTGTAAAACTGGAAGTTGAACCTCATTTGAAGCCTCAGCCTCAGTTGTTTGTTTTTTTTGTTTTTTTTTTAATTCTATTTATTATTATTTATTTTTTCATTGGATGAGATTAAAAATTAGTTCTTGCTTCCATGTGAGTTTTAATGTTTTCTGGCATTTAAATGCCTTCATGGGAGAAAACAGCATTTAACTCAAGAAAAGTATGTTAAGTGAGTAAGTTTCATGCGTTTGACACAGCCTGCAAAGTATTTCAAGCAAAATAAGCCCAGGATAGGTGAGACTTCTAAAAGATATGTATTGCTTTAACTCTGATTTTAGCCTAAATACAATGTTGTCTCGCCAATTCCACCCTTTTCTCATTTATTTACAAAGAGCATGTCCTGACAGCAGGTCTGTCAGGTCTGTTCCATCTTCTGTGAATTGAATGACCAGCTCCCCTGCTTTCTTCTTGACTCCCTGGGCCTGTTTATTGCTATTTCATTCCTCCATGAAGTGTTGGACACAGGAGGTTTGAAGTGTTCTGCTGTGATCTGTCTCTSAGATCGATGGATGTTTGACACCACCAGCAGCGGGTGCTGGGTGAAGCCAGAGTTTAAACCCCCTGCTGAAATCTCCCTTGCCCGTTTTCTAAACAAATTGCTTAACTCCACGCTGTCTTTGTGATCTCTCTAATCTGTGCAGTGACCTGGCTGGTGCTGAGTGAGATTTACCCTGCTGGGATAAGAGGAAGAGCCTTTGCCTTCTGTAACAGCTTTAACTGGGCTGCTAATTTACTGATCAGCCTCTCCTTCCTGGACCTTATTGGTGAGTAGCCACTTTCCCTCCCTCCATCCCCCACAGCTGCTTAGGGAAGGTGGCCACCACGAGCCATTTGGACATTTGGTGGCATTTTGAGCCCTGAGGACTTGAGGCTGGAGTAGGTGTGACCCCGCTGTGCCYGAGAAAAGGAAATCCAGGCCCCAGCAGCGCTGGCCAGAGCCTGTCACTGGTTTATAACAATCACCCACTGCCCACTGGGCTGCACTGTAGCACCGCAGTAGCAGCAAAAACAGCGTTTGCAGATTCCATTCCAGCAGCTTTACAGCATTCCTCAGCAGGCACTGCTGGCCCTGGAGCTTGGCTGCCTTCTTCACCCTGGTGCTGGCAAAGCCTGGCTTGCACCAGCCTTTCCCTTTGCCAATTCCCAGTCCAGGACTTGCAGATAAGGAATTTCCAAGCCCTCTCAAAGGCTTCACTAAATAAKGTGCCCCTATCAGAACCAGTTTCCTTTGTACCCCACAATGTGACCCAGCTCCTACCTTTGTGCTCTTGAATCTCTGCAGATGCCATTGGATTCTCCTGGATGTTTCTTCTCTATGGACTGATGGGAGTCCTGGCTGTTRTATTCATTTACCTTTTTGTGCCAGAAACAAAGGGACAGTCCCTAGAGGAGATAGACCAGCAGTTCTCCAGGAAACGGTACGTGTGCTGGTGTCCCAGTGGAGTGCTGGCTGTGGGTGCTTCTGTGGCACTGGGCTCATGCAAAGTCTGCTCAGTGCTTCTGAGAAAATAGAAGATCTCAGGTTGGTGGGAGAGCTGTGGGATGGGGTGGGAGAGCTGTAGGGCCTTCAACAGCATGTCATTGCCCTGAGCCTTGCAGCTGTGCTGTTTGAGGGCAGCAGTGACACTCAAGAAAAATGAGCTAAAAACCAGGGCTCATGGTCGAGGAGAGGAGACCAGGACCCCAGCATGGGATGGGAAGGTCAGGACTGTGACGAGGCAGGAGGAGATGATATTCCTGTAATTTCACTTTAGAATAATCCCAGGCTGATCCTGCTTCTCTGAGGCAGAGACATCTCCTCGAGCACAGCTCCCACCTGGTAATTTTCACACAAAGCTTGTAATGGCCATGGGAAGATCAAAAGCTGTTTGTGCCATCGTGGTTGTGATGGASGTGGCAGGGCTGGAGCAGGAGAGGTGGTGCTGCCTCATGGCTGATGCCAAGGGGAGGGAGCACACACCCCTCGGGGACAGGRGGRTGACTCTGTGAGCCCCTSCTGGCTSCCTGGGTGCTGCTCCTGACCTCCATCACTGCCCGGCAGGGTGTGGGCAGGAAATGTGTTCAGGCAGAGGCRTGGAAGAGGAGCGAGCTGCACACGCACACAGTACCAGAGAGTGGAGCACGGCAGCAGCACGTGAAACCAGCGACCTGCAGSAGCATGGTGAGGGGAGTTCCTCCAGTGAAGGAGCAGCCTGGGCCAGCAGCACACTCACTCCTTTTCTGGGGCCTTCAGCTGGTGATCTCTGCTCAGAGACACTTCACCCTGCAGTGCCTTAGGGTGGGAACACGCCAACAGCATGTTCTTTGGGTCTTTGGTGAAACACCCAGGCAGGGAGCACATCATTCCTTTTATATATTTTAATTTTTCATCCTTTGTATCACCTATCATTTAAGAGATTAATGGTTTTATACGCAGGAATTAAAGCACAGTTTTTTTTCTGACAATGATGTCCATCCATGAAGCTCATTTGTGAGCAAGGTGTGTAATTTTTTTTGGTAAAGTTTTTGGAAAGAGCGGGATCGGGCCGGGGTGGGCGCAGCGCTCTGGATCCGCCGCCAGCCGGCGCCCGGCACCGCCCGTTCGGGGAGGAACCCGCAATTCCCAAAATCCGAGCCCCCCGCACCCTCCGACCCCTTCCCTGCCTCCCCCGCACCGTGTCCTGGGCCTGATGGGGCCGGAATGGAGGGATGTGCGAATGGTAATCGGGGCACCCGCCCCTCGGGATGGGCGGGAGCTGGGGCAGTGCGGGGACACGGCAAGGGACGGGGAGGGTGGCAGTGCTGGGGTGTCGCGGGCACCCAGGTCGGGGACAAAGAACGACCCTGGCTGTGCTGGGAGGACACCAGTTAGCTCTGGGGCCAGCAGACAGCGCTAGGGACAGTGCCAGGTGCTGGGGTGACGGTACAGAGAGCTGAGAGACAGCTTATGGTATGGGGGATCAGCGAGCCCAGGGTGAAGAACTGCCGTTCCCGYTTTCCACAAAAACCCACGGCGCATTTCCGAACCCAGCAGCTTCAAAYCCCCGCGAGGAGGAACCTGTGAGAGGCACCCAGCTGGTCACACGGGCACAGGGTTTGGGTGTCGGTGCTGGCACAGTGTGCGGGGCACGGGAGACAGAGGAGAGGAGCGATGGGAGAGCCCCAGGACTGCAGGGCACGGTCCCACCACCTCTGCTCTTGCTGYCCTTGCCATGAAGGGTGCGTGTTCCTGGCAAGGGAGACAGCTCTGGAGCTGCCAGCCGGTGTCACAGGGCCTGCAGAGCACAGCAGAGCCGGGCAGGTGGCACTGAAACCTGGGAAAGCTGTAAAAGAGCATTCAGATGAAAAGCTGAAGGAAAGTCAGTGGTTTTAGAAATTTAGAAATTCAGATTGGCACACTTGTGAGGAGAAGGTGACCCATATCCACGAGGAGAGCAGCAGGGAAATCAGTGAAGCAGCTGGAGTAAATAAGSTGAATTTGGCCATGTATGGTACCAGCAGACTCACAGGAACATTATTAAACAACCAAAGAAAAAACCTGGACATGCTTCAATCACAATACCAGAAGCTTAAAAAGTAAGATGATGCCAATCACCCTGAATAAAAATCCCATACCAATACAGGTTTCTTGAGATGGGAAATCACAGATTCCAGCAAAAAATGTAGAGCCAGTACTGCATAACTCAGCTGTGATAAGGATAAAGGTAATAAACAGCAAATATAAAATGAGATTAGAGAAGTTAGCCAGCTCAGTGATCCATCAGGAAGGAATAAAAAGTGGGCTTGGATACAATAAAGGGTCTCCAGGACCGAGCAGTGCTGGAAGTGCGAGGAGGGCTGTGCTCTGGGTTTGGTGGGGAATGGTGCACAGGACCTGCTTCACAAGGTGTTTGTGGGAGAGCTGGTCTCTGCTAGTGACCACAAAACAACCTTTAATGCTGTAGTGGGAGAGAACACACCAAATAAATCCAGCCTGGGGCTCTACAGTTTCAAGAAAGGGAACTATGAAAAAGTAAGGTGATTAGTCAATAACAACAAACCCAAAAGGAGCAGGCAGAAAGCGAGGAGCCTGCAAGCAGTCTGGAGGCGATTAAAAAATGCTCTATTAAAGCCTAAGCAAAACATGTGCCACAACTCAGAAAGAACTAAGAGGTCCTAAAAAACACCCTGCCTGAGTCCCTGCTAAGGTTAAGGAGGTATCACAGGGAGAAGGTCAGTGTTTTAAAAGTGAAAAGGTTTCTCACATGAGGAGAAAAGGAAAAGCCATAAAACAGAGCAAGTGAAGAGTAGACAGAAAATAGAGCTGAAAAAAACCATGAAAATCTTGCAAAGATCTTGCAATTATATTCTAAAAATCTTTATTTAACTATATCAGAAGGAAGAAAGTGGYTGGAGGGCCATTGTCCAACACAAAGGTGCAACAGGCTGCCAGGGAGGATAGGACATGGTGAGCCAACTGTGGGTTGGTCTCCACTGCTGAAGGAAGAACCTTGYACCCAGTAAATTGGAGGAACTGGATCAATGTGATTTCACAAATGGCTGCTGTACCAAGGGGTGRCAGGATTCTAGTGCAGCTCCCAGCTACAAATCACGCTCTGGAAGGGGACACTCAGAGCTGCAGGGGTGAGTGATACCTCTGTCCCTGCTGGGGTGGTGAGTTCTGTGCCAGCAGTGAGCACATGGGCACACAGGCAACTGGCAAAGAGCCAGCAGAGGTGAATGTCAAGGAGGGAAAGCTTCTCTTGCCAGCACACTGGCACTCTAGGAATATATCAAGTATTCACATGGATAGGGAGGACCCAACAAACAGAACGGATGGATGTTTTACAAAAGATTTTGGCAAAGTTATTTTAAAAACATGTACACTGCCATGGGATTGAAACAACASTTCTTTTATATATTGAAATCTCTTTAAGGATATTCCTGTCTTGTAGGCAGCAAAGTGCAGGGTTTAGCAGGCAGTTTTTGAGGATGAATGAGGTTCAGCAACCAGATTGCCCAAGAGCCTCTGTTGAGTCTGGTTTGATTCAGCATCCTCAACTGTGGTGTTGCTCGGGGAATGGACAGCAAAACCTCCAGGTTTGTGGGTGGTGCTAAGAAAGCTCTTTTAGGATTGAACACATTTTGCCATTGACAAAGGGCTCCATAAAACCCTTACAAAAGGGAATGAATGAGCAAAAAGGGCAGCTGGGTTGGCTGTGCTGGGGAACGCTGCAGGCTGGTGCCAGAGGTGCTGGCTGGGGTCAGCAGGGACGGGAGGAGAACTCGGCTGGGTGAGTTGGGTCCTTCCATCATCGTCTGACTGGACAAATGTGTCCCCGCTCCAAATTTGTGACCCATTAACATAGCAACAGGCTGTTTCTCTTCTTCCCTCCCCTGAGGCTGAGACCTCATARGACTAGAGGATACAGAAATGCTTGAGGCGGTGATAAATCTTCTTTAGTGGGCTTTTATTTCCTTTTCTTTCACAATATTTTCTTTAGTTTCCTAGCCAATTTTTTTCTAAGGAAAGATTTCTGACTTCCTTTGAGCCACAGCTCAACATCTGTCCACATTGGGGGCTGAAGTAATACACTGTTAAGGGGTTTTGATGTCAAGCCCAAAACCCCACCAGGGATTTATGCAGCTCTCCCCTTTCCTCCCTCCTCCTCTTCAAACAGCCTTTCATTTGCTCTCACTAATTGTGCTGTCATGCCTTTCTTTTTCCCCCGGTTGTGCAGACAGCCTTTCATGCAGACAGGTTTCGGTGACAGATGCCTGTGCCATGAGCTTTCCGAGGGGGCGAGCATCGCCGGGGCGCAGCGAGCGCGCTGAAATGATCCAGGCACGCATCCAGCCCGGCGCGGATTAACCAGTGGCTTCCCCGCCTCCCCCCCGCACCCCCCGAGCTGCTGCTGGATAATCACTGCCGCTTGGGAGAGTCCCGGCAGGCCCAGCCCACCCACAGACACCGCTTGCTCCTCAAAGTGGGCAGGGATGGATTAGCAGAGCATCTCTTGGAAAAYAGAAGAGTCTTCAGGGCTGGGCACAGGGACACTGCAAAGCCTGGTGGTGTCCAGGGCAGATATTTTAAAAGAACCAAGCCACCTTCTACCCTTACATGTTCTGCTCTAGTATGCCATAATCAAAATCCAAACGATGTGAAAAACAAGCACTAACCRTGGCTGCAGACTGGCTGCAGGAACCAGCTTGTAGAGAGGGGATGTAAARTTTCAGTGGCAGCACGTACCATCCCTGAGCCCTCGATCTCCAGCTGTGGTAACATGATCCAAGTGATGGACTGAAAGCAGAGYAAGGTGTGAGCCCCTGCTGCAAATATTCCCACAACTCAGCAGAGAAATGTGGGATGTGAGTCCATATCCCTTCTGTGCACGTGAAGGCAGCAAGCTCAAGGGCTGAATCCTGCTCAGTCTCTGCTCRGGGGGATACAGAGCTGGCTGAAAGGAGCCAGAATACATGAAACACGATAACTGGAAAAAATACAAACCAGAAGATGGGCTGTTTAATGCACTACAGATCCAGCAAAACAACCAGAGCTGAACRAAAAACATTCCTCGTATAGGAACAAAGATACCAGCTCAACCCAGGGAAAACCTGGAAGGAGATGAGTGTGTCATGTTTTGTTAGCTTGTGTGTCTGCAGGCACTGTGTGGATCAGACCCAAGCCTAAAACGTGGCGGGTGCTTCCTCCTTTCGTTGCCTCTCTCCTCTCTGAAGCGCTGCTGTCAGCACGAGCACCTCCAGACTTTCCAGCTTTGGTATCTGTGGTCTGTGCCCTTGTTCCTCCTGCTCCATCCAACCTTTTCCCACTGCTCCTCTGTCTGGTCCCAGCTCTCCCAGCCCCGAGATCTCCTAATTCAATGAGCAGGGGGAGGAAGGAGAGTTGCTGTCGCTTTTAATCACAGCAGTAAAGCAGACACAGAAAGATGAGGTCTCCACCTGGCTGCTGGTGGTTTGCAGAATGAGTTGCTCTGACAGGTCACCCACCCAGAAGTGCCTTTTGTCTGTCTGGAGGGAGACAAGAAATCTTKGGCTGGGCTGGAGTGAGACCTCAGGTGCAGCAACACCAACACCAAGACCACTGTGCCTCCCCTGGACCTACCAGGACAAATTCAGTTTCTGGACAAGCAGGAATCACATAAYTGCCTTTACTGGGGAGTTTTCCAGTTTTTTCCAGGTACTTTTCAGCCACTATCACTGCTGGGAACCCTTCTGTTCTTGCCACAATGGCAGGAGTTGCAAGGAGCCATTTCCCCTCGTGAAGGTTCTCTGCAAGGCTCTGGGGAAATCGCCAGGTTCAGGTGCCACAGTCCCAGAGTGACAATGCTGTCACCACACCCGTGGCAGTGTCCCTGCTCACTCACAGCTCCTGGGGTCACAGCCTTCTTTTTGTTCTCACTCAAACTCACAGCTGAGTGCTGGTGCACGATGTGACCYCCTGCAGCAACACA